AGTTGTCTCCGGGTTCGGGGAGCCTCCCACCCCAAAACATCCCTCACCTTCCCGGGGTCCATTTTGAGGCCCGTGGCTGATATGCGGTACCCTAGGAAGTCAATGTGGGTCTTGTGGAACTCGCATTTGGAAAGTTTGGTGAACAGTTTGTGCTTGTGCAACGTACGTAAGACGTCTCTCTCCAATTTCATGTGGGAGGGGAGGTCGGGGGAGTAAATAAGAATGTCATCTAGGTAAACAAGCACCCCCTTGAACAAATGTTTATGCAGGACTTCATTTATCAAATTCATGAAGACCCCCGGAGCCCCTTGAAGCTCGAAGGGCATCACCATGTATTCAAATTGACCCAGTGGAGTGTTGAAGGCGGTTTTCGCTTCATCGCCTTCCTTTATGCGCACACGAAAATAAGCGTCTCTTAAATCCAGTTTCGAGAAGATTTTCCCCTTCGCCGCCTCCGCCAGCAAGTCTTTAATAAGTGGCATGGGATACGCATTGGTGGCTGACACTGCATCCAAACCCCGGTAATCCATGCAGAGTCTCAGCCCACCATCCTTCTTCTTACGGAAAAGTACAGGAGCTGCAAGGGGGGAGGAGGCAGGTCTAATAAAGCCCCTTGCCAAATTTTTGTTGATGAACCGCAACTACTCCTTTTCTGCCGGTCCCATGGCATAAATTTTCCCTTTGGGTAGTTTAGCCCCTGGGACCAATTCAATCTGGCAGTCTGAGTGCCTATGTAACTCATCAGCCTCTTCTTCCCCAAAGACTGCGGCTAAGTCTCTGTACTCATTTGGAATCGAAAACACTTCCTCTCGAGTGAGCAGGGCAGTGGGGTAGTCAGGTACCGGGCACGTTTCCCAATCAGGGTTCCAATTATGGGTGGTGCATTTGGTTGATTTAAAGTCCACCTTCCCCTCTTCCCATAAAATGTACGGGTCATGCCGACATAGCCAGGGGCCCCCCAACACTAACAAAAACCGTGCTGTGGGGGTCACTATGAAGGACCTATTTTCCCAGTGCTCCCCCGCCCCCATACGTAATGGCATAGTCTCGTACAAACAAGGGTCTTTCATGGGGGACCCATCCATTGGAGTGAATATCAATGGGTCCTTTAGTCTCTTTACCCCGGATTCCAGCCCCGCCACTACCGACGGGCTGATTAAGTCTCTCCTGCATCCAGAGTCAATGAGTGCTTTTACTCGCACATGCGTCCCAAGGATGGGGTTCATTAAAGAGACAGTAAAAAAAATAGGGAGGGGGGTTCGCTCACCACTTTTGGCGCCTCCATTGGAGGGTCCTGCTGTTGAGCACTGTCTACAACAGGACCTGCTCATTTCCTGCTGGCTCCTGCTCCGTCTCGCTGGACTCTCCTTCATCTTCCTCTGGCGAAGCCTGCAGAGCCTTGGTGAACTTGGGGTTTCCCACCGCCTTCTTACCGGGGCTCAGTTTTGGCTTGCTTGATTCTTGTTGATCACGCTGGGTCTTCTGTCCACAGTCAGCTGCGAAGTGGCCCTTCTCCCCGCATTTGAGACATAATCCTTGCCTTAGTCGTTGCTCCCGCGTCGCATCAGGAGGTCGATTTGGCTTCGGTCTCGGGGTTTGAGGGGTGGGCCTGCCACCAGCTGTGGCCATGTCTAGACGAAGCGTCTGCAGGTGATTCTCTGCACTTTCAGCCTCTTGGATCCACGCGTTTAGGGAGACGGGATCTACAGATCTCAATACAGTCTCTCGGATCTCTTGGTTTAATCCCACATGATACATCTCGGCTAGTATGTGATCTGTCCAGTTTGCCAGCTTAGAGGCATGGAGCTTAAATTCAGCCGAAAACTCCCGCACCATCTTCTTTCCTTGCTTCAAGGTACGTAGGTACGCGCGGGCTCTCGGACCCACATTCAAGTCTTCAAATTGGCCTCGCAGTGCCCACATAAATGCATACATATCCCTCAATTCGGGACCCCGCGTGTTGTGCAGCCCTACATACCACGTCGCCGCGACCTCTCTCAAACATGCAGTCACCACATCGATTCGGCTGCTGTCATCCGGGAAGAGATGCCCTGACCTGTCCAGGAACTTTTGCACTCGCACTACAAAATAGGGCAGTTTGTCAGGGTTCCCGTCAAAGGTGGCTTCGATCAGGTCTTTGGGGCACGGGGTTACCTGAGGTCTCGGGTGGCTGGTTGTGGCACGGGAGCTGGTCCACCTGGCTGTCCCGGCAGCGGGAGCTGTGGTGCTGGTAGCTGTGGAGCCGGGAGATGGGGGCTCTGAACCCCCCGAAACTACCGTGGCAGCCCCGGTGACCGAGGCGCCACCAATCTACACCCCGGGGGGGTGCGAAGGCAAAGACGATCACGGCTACCCTGTATGTCTCCTAAAGGCCCGGCAAGTCCACCGTGGCCGGAGAGTCGGTCCAGCTGGAGCCAGTTCGATGCGGATGTCGTGTGGGAATCATACTCACACCTGGGAGCGAGTGTGCGAGACAGCTTATATGATCGGAGTCAAACGGGGCATGGGATGGCTGCTGCGAGTGCCCAAGCTGAGGCACCCCTGCCCTTGTGGTTGACCGACCGATGCAAGAGCCGAAGTGGTTGAGTTTCCCCAGAAGAGGGGATATGGGAATGGCTATAGGAAACCAACTACGCCGTGCAGAACCGGTGCCTCCGGGGTTATTCTAGGCTAGGCCAGAGTAACCCCGGGGTTACTCTGGCCGGGGGGTTAATCCGGCCTGTTACACCGGTTCTGCACGGCGTAGTTGGTTTCCTATAGCCATTCCCATATCCCCTCTTCTGGGGAAACTCAACCACTTCGGCTCTTGCATCGGTCGGTCAACCACAAGGGCAGGGGTGCCTCAGCTTGGGCACTCGCAGCAGCCATCCCATGCCCCGTTTGACTCCGATCATATAAGCTGTCTCGCACACTCGCTCCCAGGTGTGAGTATGATTCCCACACGACATCCGCATCGAACTGGCTCCAGCTGGACCGACTCTCCGGCCACGGTGGACTTGCCGGGCCTTTAGGAGACATACAGGGTAGCCGTGATCGTCTTTGCCTTCGCACCCCCCCGGGGTGTAGATTGGTGGCGCCTCGGTCACCGGGGCTGCCACGGTAGTTTCGGGGGGTTCAGAGCCCCCATCCAGGGTTCCCAGTTCTGTCCCGTCAGGGATTGGTTTCCCCTCTTCCTTGCTCATATTGGGGTTGATAGATGCGCGGAGATGGGGAAAGTGGATTCTGAACAGAATGTCAGGTCCCACCGCAATTCAACGGAGTACACACTTATAGAAAGGTATTACTTTATTGAAGCCATGAGTCACTGCACAGAAGAACTGTTCAGAATAACCCCAAGGACTTGGGTTGGAAAGGTTAAAGCAATTTAATAATCAATGCGGCCAATAGCTATGATTCCCGCCCGCGCCTAAGAAGCAGTTTTACGCGCCCAAAACCCCTGGGAACTCAACGGTAACTATGTTATCGTTCCCTAACACTTCCCACGGTTTCTACTCATTAAAACAAAACAAAGCAAAGCAGAGCAGTCCACATCTCTTAACCACCTGTCACCTTGGAAATGATAACGTTACAGCAGACAGGCCTGGCGTACACTAACAAGAATGCAACTATGAATATATGTGCATGGTTATATGAACAGACCTCTGGGGGGGGGGACACAGAACAAGGTACATTGCCATACACAGGTATGCAGGAGCCTATAGGAACATACAGAACATTTGGCAGCTTGCAGACAAACTGTAGAATCTTTGTGGTATACCACAGGAGAAATGGAAGTCCTAGAGTACCTACCCTCTGAAGCCACTTCAGGACTTTTGTTTCTCCTAGCCTCTATAGTATACCATAGAGTCTACCATCCAAACTTGATGTTTCCAGCAAGGGGAATGGATCTCTGTAGTCTGGAGTTCAATAGTAACTCCAGGAAGCTCTGGGCCACACCTTGAGTTTGGTAACCCTTATATAGCACATATCAACTTAAATGGCTGGCATGTTTTATGTCTTAAAGTTCTGGTTTTCTAGCTGAAACAGGGTAGTCTTGCAAGAAAAAAAAAGCCTTCCATTAGTACTTCCCATACAAGTGGTTTCTGGAATGAGTACTTTTGTGATCTGAACAAACCCCTTGTTTGACCACTTCTGGAAAATGTTTAAGTGCAATGTTGAGGACACTTGGAAAGAAGAATTCAAAATAATTTTGCAAATTGCTCTAATACTTTATAAAAAAATATTGTAATCTAGCTATCAAGACAGTAAAAAGAAAGAGATTTCCTTTGCACAGTGGATATATTGTTCACACTGAGTCTAACTGCATTTCCTTGCAGTGCATTTTTAAGGCAGATTTGGAACAATTTTGCATTGCCGTGGTACAGTAAGAAACAGAATGCTTTAAGTTATAATCAGTTTGCTGTTTTCAGAAAAGGGGTACAAGATGGAGAAACTGAAAATATGGATGAGTTAGGTAATTCATTTGTATGATCTCAGTTTTCTCTGAATCTTCCAGAGAGTTTTGTACATAAATAGTTCCTAGTTAACCATAGAAGTGTCTTAGTTTTTTTATGTCCTTGTTGGGACAGCACAACAAAAATATCCTTAACTGTTCAAAGCAAGGTCATACTAAGGGGTTCTGCAGACAGCTGTACCAGAGTTATTAGGGTTGTGAAAACCCAGACTGCAAAAGAACTACGTGTAAGGGAAGACAGACAGTTTTGATTCAGTGGTTCTCATGTACTTAATGGTGTGTGCATGGGCAGTTATTGCACCATTCAGAAAAGGGAGTATCCTCTGCTTGCATGCATTTCTGCATGTACACAACGTCACTCCACAGTGTTTGATCAGGGCACTATAATCTGCAATCCTCCCTCCCTCCCTCCCTCCCTCCCGTATTTTATTTACATACATGCATGTGCATACCCAAACACGTGTTATGACCTATAAGAGTACGTTTATTGCTGTATTAAGATTTTTGAGCAGTTCATGGAGTGAAGATTCCACCCTTTTTTATATAGATTATATTTGGCACAAAAGAACTGTGTCTGTTGAGTCCAAGCCTGAAAGCGAGTGCGGCCCAAAAATGCAGTTGCCAACTAGTGGATGTGCTTTGCGAGCAAGCTCTCTTCCTTGTCAGTGGATTTAATGAAAAAAATCTCAATCAGGTATTTCTGTGTATTTAATTTTTATTTGAGTGCTTTGCGTTAAGATTTGAAGAGTGTCAGAGGTAGCTTCTGTGCATTTGAGGATTGGTGGGCACAACTGTTGTTTTATATTGTTTTATATATTGTTTTATACTGTTTTATTGTTTTCTTGGCAACTGGTGCCATCGCTGTAAGCTGCCCTAAGCCCACTCATGGGGAGGGTGGGGTAGAAACCGCACAAATAAATAAATAAATAAATAAAACTGTGCAAGGGAGCAGGATGAAGGGCAGGTGTATGAAGGGCAGGTGTACAGACAGCAACAGCAGATTACATTGTTGCTCAAACACCTGGGAAATTGTGACCTTTACGCTCTTGTAGGTAGCAGGGAACCAACAACTTACTTGCCCTACTATTGGTACAAACAGGCTTGCTTGGCTGTTTTGATTAATTTTCCTGTTGCCACCGCAGCCACAAAGAAAAGCTAATCTGCCACTGCTCAGGTCACTGGTTCAGAACCTGTTGTCAGCTTGATTTTTGACAGAGCTGAAGGCTTTCTCCTAATTTACTTCCTCACCTAACAGGTGATGTTTCAATGTCCTTCCTCTTAAAATTCTCTTCCCAGCCTTGCCGTCCTAGTACCTCTGCTAACTAGCTGGCAAATCTCTTGAAGTTTCTAGAATGATCCCTTAGCTATGATGTCTATACTTTCCCCCAGCAAAGTAATTTCACTTGGCCCCCAGAAACATATGATGCTGATTTTTTTAAAAAAGAAAATAACCTTTGCTCAGATACTCTTCATGGAGGATATGAAGAAGTCTAAGAGAGACTGGTAATGCTTTGGTGCAGTTGGAGAGGGCTAATAGAACTCATGCTTTAAATTAGAACCACTGTGGAGTGACGTTGTGTACTGGCTTCCACTGGCCTTCTTGGATACTCCATAAATGAGCACTGCAGCAGTATTTGTGAAGTGGGCCTGTTTATGTTCTGGAGGCCCCAGAAAATGCCCTGCCTTGCCAACGTCTGGAGGAGTCCCTGACTAACAATGTAGCTAATAGGGGTGTGCATTCAAGTCTACTGGAGCCAAAAATCTACTCAAAATACCTTACAGGTATTTTTCAGGTGGTTTTCAGCATCCCAAATGTATCCATTTTTTTTTAAGGAACGCCAGGGGAAAAAATCCCCCCAAAATCCTGGATATATTCGGGAATTACTGGGCAGTTACGAAAACAGCAGTGAGGCCAAAGCAGATTGTTCCTGCCTCTCAGCTGTTTGTTGGTCTTCTACTGCAGTCCCTTTAAAGTTTAAAGAGACTGCAGAAGACAGCCCGAGGACCAGCTGTGCTGGTGGGGAGAATACTGTTCCTGCTGGTTTGGCTTGGGGCAGGCTTCTCCTGCAGTCTGATTTAAGAAATCAGCCCCAGGATCTGCTGTGCCACTGGGAACAGATTGCTCCCCGCAGGTTGGGCTTTGCTCTGGTTTAAATCGGACTGCAGGAGAAGCCAGCCCAGCCAGTATCTCCTGTGCCCACGGTGAGCAGATTGTTTCTTGCTGGCTCAGCTTTGTGTTGGCTTTTAAAAAAAAACAGTATTTTTCTTCTCAGGTTTATTGGATCCAAAAAAAATTCGGGATTTCCAAAAAATTCCAGATCCTAATCCCATACCAATAGACCCAAGAAGAAAAATATCAGTTGAAATTTTTTACACACCCTTGTAGCTATTATAATGAATCTACACCTTAATTTGCATTTGTAGTGCATGAGAGAATGGGTCCTGTTCCAATATAAAAAGTCATATGTCTGGGGCAGTGATGCTCTGTATTCTTGGTGCTTGGGAGGGCAACAGTGGTAGGGCTTCTGGAGTTCGGGCCCTGCTGGTGGACCTCCTGATGGCACCTGGGTTTTGACCATTGTGTAACACAGAGTTTTGGACTGGATGGGCCATTGGCCTGATCCAACATGACTTTCTTATGTTCTTATGACATGCCAATAATTTCTTACAGAGCCGGGCTGATGTGTATATATCAATATTCCCAGATTATACATCTGTAAAAAATGGTATCCACTGGAGTCAGGTAGGGTTACTATAATTGAATGTTGTCTGTTTACAATAAATATAATAGCTTTGTTTAAGGAAATGCCCTCCAGCTATATTTCTGAGGCAAAATGATCATATTTAGTAGTGGGAATTCTAGACCCAATCAGACAGTATTGATTTTCTAATCAGAAATCAGCTACCTAATCAGCAGTATAGGAAAGTGGCAATAAATGAAAAGGCAGAAATATTCTTGCACCAATAGCAAACTTCTCCTACGTAATCAAATCAGATCTTTATTACGGTCTTAGACCAGCACAGAACCCTATACAATCTCACAAGACAACAAAGAATTTTTAAATGTGCTACAATAAATGACTAAAAAGTAATTACTAGTTAATTACAATATAATGGATGTTTAAAAATATACACATATATGTATGCACATATACATATATATACAGATATAAAGTAGTACATTGGGAATGATTTTTAGATAAATTTTTAGAGTATGAAGAACAATAAAATATAATTAATCAGTACCGAAAAAGATCTTTCGAATTTTACATGAAGCTGCGCAGAATTTTGCACTGAGAGCTGTCACCTGTGGGTTTTCTCCTATACGTAGCATTTTGACATATGCCAGTTTATAGCAACTGGGATTTTTGCTAAGCAAAGGAAAGATATACTTTAAACATATCTTATGATAAAAAGGGCAGTGACTTCTCCTATGTAATGAAAATAGTTAAAAACAAAAGACAACAGAGAAAGCCAGTTAGTGAAAGAAATCAGGACTGCCATGTAGTGAATTAATCACCTAACTTTCCCCCATGAGTACAGATGGCCAGGGATTTTGTAGTAAGAAAAACTGTAACAATGAGCTCACTTAAGATTCTCTATGCATGGCAAAGCTTTATCATGAATAGAGTACCAAACTAGATTTTCTTTAATAAACATCCTGATGTAGCAAGAGTTAAATGAACTGACATGTTCATTGATATTGTGAGAGTTGCCCAGTCTCCTGAACTACTGAAAATCCTACCCAATACTTTTAATTTATTAATCACATTATTTAAGTTAATTAATTAAAGTAACTGCACAGTTAGTTAAAATTAATTCATTAGTTTAAAACATTCATTAGCTGCCTTTCCACCTTATAGGAGCTCAAGGAGGTTTACAATGTAAATAATAACAAAATACAATATACATAAAAGCCACTAGTTAAGATCAACAATTTAAAGCTGTTGGTAGGCAGAAGAAGCAAATAACTCACCCAATGCCATCATTAACAGAACTGTCTTCAGCTGCCTCCTAAAGATTGAGCATGAGAAGTTAAGCGAAGGTAGCTTCTTGCTCTTTCTAAGATACCATTATTAGAAGACTTGATCATTGCCTTTATGTCTGTGTTTAATCTCTTTGAGATGATTAAAAAAATAATCATTATGAAACATTCTTAACATGTATCCGCTCCCAAACCCTTCATCTTGGCTTTCTATGACATACTACTATGTTCATTCAACCCTTTTTTCATTTTTAGTCAGCTAAAACAGGAGAATTCAGATTCTTTGACTATGGCTCAAGAAATATAGAAAAATACAATCAGGTAGGAATATGCTGGATTTTTATTTTCTGTGTATTTGGAAAGGAATGAACAAACACCAGAGGTCCTATAAGTAATTGTGTGCATTGAGTCTTTGGGGGGGGGGGATAGCTGATTTGTCTTCTGAATTAAATAGAGTCACCACAGTTTCAAATATTGCTCTAGGTATTTCTGTGGTGAATTAAATTAATTTTATTTGGTTTTTGCCTTTTGACAGACCATCCCTCCTCTGTATAGGATAGAAGAGATCACGGTGCCGATAGCAATGTGGAGTGGAGGACAGGACTGGGTTTGCCAGCCAGAGGAAACCATACAATTATTGTCTCGAATCACTAATCTCATTCATTACAAACATTTTCCTGACTGGATCCACTGGGACTTCATTTGGGGACTAGACGCTGCTCAGCGCATGTATGTGGAAGTCCTTGGATTGATGGAGAAACACTTGTGAATCCATTTGTACTGGGATTAAGGACTTGGGTTTTTTAGGGAATATCTGTTTGTTTCACAGTGCTTATTTTGTGTTCTCATTTCCTGTTCTTTTCAAAGTGCATGTTTTAGCTATGGATGAGCTTTAATTGGTTACAACTGAATCTCTCTTCAGAATCTAATAGCAAAATATTTTGTTGGATTTCCTAATCCGTTCCTACTATGGATGCATGCATTTAAAATTCATTTTAAGAAATTTCCTTATAAAAAATTAAAATCTTGTAGCATACTCACTTTATATAGTATCCATTTGTTTCATTTGGTTCATCAGTATATATAAATGTGTGTGACCACTCTGCTATTTCCATAACTAAGGCATTTTTGCTGTTTAACTCCCTCCTTTCCAGGACACCTATACAGTTAAGCCATACTTTAAACAAAGTTTGAGTCCAGTGGCACCTTTAAGACCAACAACGTTTTCATGTGCATAAACACTTCTACAGATACTGAAATGTGTACATGGGAAAGTTTATTCATCTAAAAACATCAAAGTCTCTGTGGCACAGTGAGCAGCATGTTGGTCTAGTAACCAGAAAGTCCTGAGTTCGATTCAGAGGATCCAGAGTGTTTTGCTTTAAATGGGCATTTTTAAAAAAGCTTCAACCTTGGCGCCTTGCTTACATGAATAAACATGAATAACCTTTCCTGTGTCAACAAGGCACCAAGGCTGAAGTTTCTTTTTCTGCCCCTTGCTTGGCTTTTTAAATAAATATCTACTTATAAAAAAGGTATTAAGGAATTTTATTTAGGAGTTTTGATTTAGACCCACATCGCTACTGCAGCCTGTTTTTTTCCAAAATAGACAAGGATTATCTGCACACAGCTCTGATCATGGGGAACACTTATTTTGAGTACTAGCTGTCATGTCCATACTGCCTGTTTAGAACTAGGTATTTAAAGAGCCAAACCTGGGGGGGGGGGGACTTTCACGAAGTACTGTAGCCGCTCCTTTTGGAAGAGTACATAAAATGACCATTCAAAAGAAAGGGTTGTTTTTATTGCAGTTAAAGCAAAATATTCTCTCCCACCCCCCAGCTTCAAACTCATGGCCCTCGGGTTATGAGACTTAACATGCTGCCCACTGCACTACAGAGCCAGTTTGGTGTAGTAGTTAAGTGTGCGGAATCTAATCTGGGAGACCCGGGTTTGATTCCCCACTCCTCCACTTGCATCTGCTGGATGACCTTGGGCAAGCCATAGTTCTGGCACAGCTGTTCTTGAAGAAGAGCAGTTTCTGTCAGAGCTCTCTCAGCCCCACCTACCTCACAGGGTATCTGTTGTGGGGAGGGGAAGGGAAAGGAGTTTGTAAGCCGCTCTGAGACTCCTTTGGGTAGTGAAGGGCAGGGTATAAATCCAATCTCTTTTCTTCTTCTTCTTTTATGTTCCTATTTGAATAAACTTGCCCATGAACTCCAAGTGAACGGGTCTGCACAGATGGTTTTTTCTAGAGATCCGCATTGCTTTATTTTGGCAGCGGTTTTCTTAGTGAAAGACTAAGCAAACAGACGGAGGAGTTTGAAGGAGACAGTGGGTCTTGGGACTTGACAATGGCATATTAAGTTAGGTGGAGAGCAATTAAAATAAATAAATATAAGTTGGGAACATAGAATTAGATACAAGGAGTAACTATTAGAAAGGAGGAAATAATATAGGAGTTGAAGTATTATAACAAGGGCATAGCAAGGAGGTGAAGGGTGTGCTCCCCCAAAGACCTCAGGTAAAAGGGTGGAGGCTACCCTCCTGCTGTAGGGATTTCCTACACCCTGAAGTTGTTCAGGGTGGTGAGAACCAGGGAGGATTGTGAGGCACTCCAAAAGGATCTGTTGAGGATGTAGAATATGATATAGAGGAAGTTGCATGGTGGTATTACAAGTGGGTAATATAAGGAAATAAGAAAAAGATGAGGGTATAAACAAGATTGGGATTAAGATATAAACAGGCGATATGTCACCTCAATGGTTGTTTTTTTTGTTTAGTTTCAAAAGGAGTATAATATATTTGGAAAGAAATATTAAATTAATACTTTCCATTTATTAATCGTTTTCCCCAGTGGGCTCAAAGCGATGTACAGTTACTCAATATAGACAAGGGACTAACAATGTTTGTAGGGGATAGGGAAGACAGCATATATTCATTTTAATTGCACCGTGTAGACGTCTTCTGGCTGGCTCCGTCATTTTCCCGCACGGCTGCTTGCTGGCCAGGCTTCAGGACCCGTATGTCAATCGCCACACTGCCACCGCCTGGCCGGAACATCCATTGCAGGAGTTCTTTTCGTAGCCGTGAAGCTGTTTCGCCTTACAAGCCTTGACCAGGACGTCCGACCGTCAGCTAACGCCCTCCCACAAGGGAGATTGGCGTGCCTACCCTCTCTAAGGAGTGGTTCCCATTTTATCTACTCACCGAAGCTTTTGAATCACTGGGTGGACGATGAGCTGGGGACAATAGGCTGGCTGCTCACACTAGCGCGGGGCTTGAACTAACACAGTTCAGATGTTAAGACAGTGGGATATACCCACTGTGCCACCGCTCCCCTGTATGAAATTGTATCTGTATGAAATTGTAATATATACTCAATAAAAATAATAATAGTAAATTGTTGGTGCGGTCCAGATCATAGATCTCCTGAGACATGTTTTGAGTTTCAGAAATACAACCTCATGCACACAGTCAATACAGACTGCACAACTGCTTTGTACAGCAATCGTACAGGAATTGCTGACCTCACTGTAATACATTATTAGCTCTGTGTTGTAACATAATACATATTTCTTATTTTTAAAATGGCAGATTTGACCCACAGAGGGGGGGGTCATGGGTGTGGAAAGTGTGGGGCATGCTGCACTATGACAATACAAAAACAATGGAGGCGTGGTGGTAAATTAAGCTCGAATCCTGGAATTCCACACTTTGAAAATGCGAGTTAAGGACTCAGGCAAGTAAAACGTTGTGAAAATCCAGGATTCAGAAAATGCAGGGCGAGAGGGAGGAACATGTGGATGAAATCCTGGTGTGCAGGATCTTGTGCAAAACCATTTAGGTGCTTCGAATGTTTTAGGACACCAATGTCAGGGCAAGCGCTTATGTGGAAACGGTCCCAGATTTCATTGAAATTTTGCTCTAAGTGAGATCCACTAAGCTTTTGGAACCCATGAAAATACTAATATTAAAAAAAAACAGATCTGAGATTAAATGATTTGGATATATAGCCATCCCTTCTTTCAACAGTTGCCTTGAAAAGCTGTACTTCTTTATTCAGGGCCTCAACACTGGGAACTGTGCACGAAGTTCAAAATATCTAAATTTATTTTAAGGAGCTATGTTGAGCCCATCAGATATGCAAATTTTGATACAAAAATCTAAATTTAGAAATCATCTGAGTTCTAACCCAGACTGTGCTGTTTCATTTTGCTTTTTAGTTTATTATGGTATTAAACCAGCATGAAACACAGAGTAAAATATGCCAAAGCCATTACCCACAGTCGTTAAAATTACAGATAAAAATATAATACTTGCACATAAGGGATTATAAATAATATTCCAATAATACACTTTATAAAAACGTTCTTGACAAAAAGATAAAATAAAATAAATTAAAGGAGTATTACCTAGGAGGGACAAAATTTATAAAACTATATATATTAAAATGACTTTTGTCATACTTTATGTTTCCTTATTTTCTTGGATGTTCTGTTGAGTTTTGCAGGCTGCAGCACAGAATTTCGCACAAAATGCAGGCACCTGCGAATTTTCTCCCAGAAGCAGCAATTTAACATATCTCCAATTTGGAAACCTAGGATTTCTGTTGAGCAGGGAGGAAATATACTTTGAACGGCTCTTTTGATAAAAAGGGCAGTGGAGGAGGACATGTTCTGTTGTTTCTATCTTACCTCTGCCACAGGGGCACAGTCTTTCATTCAAAGAAATCTTTTTATATTGCCCTGCTGCTGTTGGAAGGGCTTGCCATCTGGTGAGAGTAAATGCCCTCTGATGGCTTGGGATCTCCAGCTGGAATAAATATTCATCTAGGAGGGACAACTGTATAGCTGTTTAGTTGTGATGCTAGAAAAGCTGATGACTTTGCTACATCTCACTGCTGCTCAATGTCTAAGACCCTTTGCTGTATCAAAGCTTTCACTTGCTCAAATCCTGTTTTCAAAATTGAGTGTGGGGGGAATCCCATGTTTACCAAATTATCAGGGCTATTTTGGGGCAGGAACACACAGGAACGGAGTTCCGGCTGGCTCCCGAGTTGGCCACGCCCAGCAGGAACTCATTAGCATAATAGGCCACAACCAACAGCAGAAATGTATTCGGATTGGCGACATTAGGGGTGTGTGGCCTAACATGCAAAGGAGTTCCTGCTACAAGAAAAGCCCTGGGTTTTGACAACAAGCAGGGTAAACAGAATAAGAAGCAAAAGGTGGGTGTGGCTGGATGACTACACTGCTGGTAACATGGGGTGTGGCCTAATATGCTTATGAGTTTCTGCTGTTTGGTGTGGTCTATTATGCTAATGAGTTCCTGCTGGGCTTTTTCTACAAAAAGATTAGTGGAGGCTGAGCACACCCTAGTCAGCCCAAACTATGCTGGTATCCCTTGCATAATTTCAAATGGTTCAGAACTTATCTCAGCATCGTAATCTTTAATGTTGAGTTACATTGATGGAAGTTTCCCCAGTGCTCTTTAGACCCTCATTTGTCATCTCACTCAGTATGCATCTACGACTTTTTTTCTATGTTCTTTGAATATCTCTTGCACCACCTTAGGTTCTTGGGCTTTCAACAGCTGTGTGATAGGCAGAAAATATATAGCCATTGTAGGCATAAAAGAATGGCAGCATCCCCATATGGCTAAAAATGGAACCAGGGTCCAGATAAGATGAAGGTGTTGTTGGCTAATAATGTATATAATCCAAGATTAAGGTGCCAGCCTGACCTAGCTAGATGGAGTTCACACTTCCTCAGAATGAGCAGGTTGGCAGTGCTATTAGTTGCGGATCTGCAGGTGGAGGCACAGATCTGTTTTATGTAGCAATTTTCACAAGCAAGGCAGGATTTGGCTCGTGTTATTCATGCACTGATCATGTTTTACATGGGGCTACCTTGGAAGTTGGTTTGGAAGCTTCAGGGGATGCACGGTGTGGCTGTGACATTCAAGGTAGGCACAGCTGATCAATGTTAGAATAACTTCACTGGCTGCCTATTTGCTTCTGTGCCCAACTCATTATTACCAGCTGTAAAGCAATGAACATCATGGGGCCAAGACATCTAAATGGCTGAGCCCGTCCCTTGAGATTTGTGAGGCATTACTCTTCTGTCTCCCTCTTTTTTTTTGGACATAAAGCACAAAGCAGCTAAAAGCAGGGGGATTTTCAGTTGTGGCTGGAGATCCTCCCCCTTGGATGCTTGTCTGCCACTGGATTTGCTGTCTTCTGGACCTTCTCCCCCTCATTTTAGCTGATTCAGTGTTGCCAACCTCCAGATGGGGCCTGGAGAACTCCCAGAACTACAACTGATTTCCAGACTACAGATATCAGTTCCCCTGGAGAGAAGTGGCTGCTTTGGAGGGTGGACTCTGTGGCTTTATTCTGTGTTGAGGTCCCTCCCCAAACTTCACCCCCCCGGCTCCACCTCCAAATCTCCAGGAATTTCCCAACCCAGAGTTGGCAACCCGAAATGGTATGTTTGACATATAATATGCCTATTTTTCAGTTCCATAGCCAGTGATGGAGCTTTAGGGGCTGAGCCCACTATCAGATCTTCAGTCCTCCCACTCCAATTTCTCCAATCTCCCCTTTTTATTCTAATTTTTTTTTAACTTTAGTTCTGTTCCACCACACCACCAACCTGCCACCAGCATCATGGATTCCTTCCTCAGGCTTCCTGGCTTCCTTCCTCCACCTTTGATTGGCTGACACAGCTTGTTAAGTGTGTCTGTGCTGTTCATGTCCAGGAGAAAGTTAATGCTTTTGGTAGCCTTAATGTAGCAGGAGGGGGACCCTTGGTGGGTTTCCTGCAGGCGGTGATGTCTCTGTCAGGGAGGTGTCATGCTGGGGTCCAGGCTACCAATGTAGCCGCTGAGCCTGCTCCCACTGGAGATTGTTGGGGGAAGGAGCAGTGGGCATGTGAGGGAAGGGAGAAGGACTTGGGCAAGTGAAGCCTGCGCAGCGGACCCACCTGGCGAAGAGAGGATTTTCCACTCCCAGGACTTGGACAGGTGGTAGAAAGGTTGCAAGGCAGAAAGGCAGCATAGATGTTCCTGTTCCACCTCTAATCATGCTGCTTTCAGATGGTGTGGCAGGCCCTCCCTCCCCTGCTCCGTTGATTTAATTTAATTTAAATTTAAATTTACTTAGCGCCCTCCGGCACACACACACCCTAATTTTTTCCCCCTGTGAATGGCTCTGTTGAATAGGTCTTTGTTGCAAGCCTATATTATAACATGCTTTTAAAAATGGTTATAAGTAACGTCTTTTTAGTCTGTTTCCTTGATTTTTTTCCTTTTACTTATTTGAAAAGACACAACCTCATGAGTACAATGTAACAAATTTGCATCTATCAACTGCAGTTTGGAGTGTCAGAAATGACAGACTTGCTGACCCTGAGGTTGTTACCGCCTTACTCCCTCAAATCACAAACTTCACATACCACAAGTTTATTCTTGAATGGCGTCATGAGTCATTCATCTATGGTTTGGATGCATATGTTCAACTGCATCATGAAATCCTTGATATACTCAAGGGGCCTTATTGAGAATGAGGTAAGCAATACAAAGGACATATAGTGTATCATACAGTGCAATCCTGTGCAAAGTCTAAACCAACCTGTGATGGATTGCAAAGAAAAGCAGACTTTTTAAAATGCTGGTTATGTCAGAGAGTTAGGGAGTTCAAGAGTTAATCTTCCCTGGAGAGAAGAACTTATGTGATTGTCTGCTCTACTCGCTCTGTGATTGGCCAGCATCAGCTTAGGGAGGAAATAAAACCACTGATCTGGAGGGAAAAAAATCACTCATTTTTTGGTCTTGGTCTGTAATCTAACAGTTACTGGAGAAGGATTTGGCAGAAGGTCTGGGTAGTTAGAGAGAACTCCCGTACAAGGAGAATAACTGCTTGCCAGTGAAAGGGGTTGGGAAGAGAACCCTGATCTGTAATAAAGGGGAGAAGTTTAGACACCTCAGAAAAGCTGTAACTAATGTAGAACTCTGAAGGGAGAAATATAGGAACTATAGTAAAAGGTAAAGGTTTACCTTGCTCAAAAGCCAGTTGATTCTGACTTTAGGGGGTGGTGCTCATCTCCATTTCCAAGCCGAAGAGCCAGTGCTGTCCGAAGATGTTTCCATGGTCATGTGGCCAGCATGACTGGACGCTGAGGTGCACAGAATACTGTTACCTTCCCACCGAAGCAGTACCTATTTATCTACTTGCAATTTCTTGCTTTCAGACTGCTAGGTTGGCAGGAGCTGGGGCCAGACACAGGAGCTCACTCTGTCACATGGCACTAGGGTCTCAAGCTGCCGAACTATAGACCTGCTGTTCTGCAGCTCAGCATCTTAACCTCTGAGCCACCGTGGCCCCATATAGAAACTATAAGCAAATACTATTCTCCAGAAAACAGTATTAAGAACCTGTGTTAGTGCAGAAGTATACTAAAGAAAGCACTTCTCATTGAAAAGATCTTGAAACTCTGAAAGTAAGCTACAACAATACTCTCTTGTATGATCTAAGCTTTCAAATCTGTATGCAAAGGTGTTGAACCCATTTGTTATGAAGGCCGGATTTGACCTAAGAAGCCTAAACTAATATCTGTGACAGGGTTGGACAGTTAAAGCTTATAAAATAAAGGGGGGAAAACAAGCTACTGAAGGGCGGCTCAATCACAGAGTGGAACTAAAACAATTTTGGTGGGAAAATATGTCTGGGAATTGGGGAGAGTCAGGGTCTGTCATACCACCCCTTTCAATGTGCTTAGACTGAAGAAATTCTGCAAAGGCTTGCAGTGTACGCCTAAAGGCCTTTATTTGGCTTGCACCCTTCTGGACTTGTATGCTCACAACAAAGAGCTGTATGTTCTCCTGATACCGAGATAAGCCCAAGTTTCTTGTACATTTTTATGAACTGGAAATTCTTTTACCTTCCTCAAAGTTCCCACAGACACTTGTCCAAGAAGGACCTTGCACCACCTCCTTTCCAGACTGAACAATGAGTAAAATCTGGTACTAAACTGAAGGGCTGAACTTAACACTGCAGAAGTGTGCAATGACAGACCAGCAACCTCATCACCTTTCCAAGGGCTCCTTCGTAGCAAAAAAAGGGATGGGGGAGGCAGAGGGCACTTCACCTTCTACCTGCTATCTTTTTTTGGATATGACTCCTACTTTTATCCCTGCTGGTCTTTCCACATCTGTGTTTACTTTGACAATCTATGCCTGCAATCCCAGAGGCAGGAAGGGGATGACTGGCAGGGGAAGGCACTTTATAACAGTGAAGGAGATGTACACATACACCATTCTGTGCAGCTTGCCTGTAATAAAGAGGAAAAGGTGATTTCTGGAGGTAAAGCCTTAGAGAGCCAGATATACAGGCTACATCTTGTATTGCTTACATCTGTGTATCACTTTGCTTTCATATGTAATTTTTTGTTCTTGTGTGTAGCTAATTTCTTAAAACATCAAGCCAAAGTTATTCAGGCCACACCATCAAGCCAAAGTCAAATACTTCTTAGTTCCCATAGATACCTGTAGAAAAGTGAAACGTGTCCTTCAGTCCTTCCCATTGTGCTCCATGAGAACATAAAGTCCTTGGTTGGGTTGTCCCCAGACTTGTGTATATGCATGTAAGTCCTATCATCCTCATTGACAGAATTACATGAAATATGTCTAGAAGTTGGATTTTGGGAGGCGGGGCAACAGTGCAGCAACGTGGTTGAGTTTTCTCAGGGCTCTGAGACTCACCAACTTCTGGAGCTTTTTAGGGGTCCATTTGGTTCTCCTTGGTCCCATTGGTTCATCAGGAGTACGAACTGATTGCAGAGGACTTTTATATCTGAGCCCCCCGTTTGTGTCAACAATGGGTGTGGAGTCAGAATTGTCCTAACGCAGGAAGCACCGAAGACCAGCCGTGATAGCACGACTGACAAGGTGTATTACCCCTTTACAAAGAGCCTTCAAACCTCGTCATACCATCTAGGCAATGAACTTGTGAGTACTTTCTTTTTCTTGTCAACTTTCAAACTTGGAAAACAACTTCTATTTGCCCTTATAAATCTTCCTGAGAAGCTAAAGGAGGTGCTGAGGAATCTTCCCTCACGCATTCCTATGATAAGCAGCGAAGCAGAGCTCCGGGGTGTCAACATCAATATAAATACAAAGGGCAGAGTAATATATTGAAATCTCCTATCTGCTATTTGGAAAACACCTTAAATATTGAAGAACAGTGGCTTACTTGATTTATGGGGTCTTGGTGTAAAATGGCGACGAAGCTGGCACTCTTAATGGCGTAATTCCAGAGACGATTGTTTACAAGAGTCTCAGCTTAAGTGTGAAATGGCTTTTTTAGCACAAATTGGAGAGGACTGGCAACTGTCAGAAACTTTTTGGGACGAGATTATTCTACGAATGCAAACTAAAATACTTGAAGCTATCTCTCCATTTTTGGAACAAATCGAGAGTGCTTTTGAGATTGAACAGACTAGTTTACTTGAAACAACAGACCCTCCATTGCAAATGACGCCATCCTTGTCCCAAAACCTCGACCGGTCTGGAGATGTGATCCCTAATACGAGAGAAATAACAAAAGACTACTCTGACTGCTTGAAGTACCAAGT